TAAAATGCAATTCAATATATTTTTATTGCACTTCAAATAAGCATGTTGGGAATACAAATGTATTAGAAACATACTACTTGAATTTCAAGTATATTTTTAATACATTTAATACTACGTCTTTTTCACTTGGGAAGGATAAGTTGTACATAAAAAAAAATAAAAAATACATTTCTCCACTATCAAATCACTAAACTTTCAAATCAAATAAAATGTCATTTCAATTAAATTCAAGTTTATTTGTATAGCGCTTTTCACGATACAAATCGTTGCATAGCAGCTGTACAATATGTGTCACACACACACTGGGAGCGCAGGAACGAGCGAGGAGACGAGGAATAAAGTAAATCAAAAAGGTTTTAATGAAGGCACGCTGGGGATCACAGGACGGGAGACATCAGGCAAACCAAAATGACACTTAACAGCAGATCGAGAACTAGGAACACTTTAAATACACATACACCAATGGGACACACCTGGGAGCAAATGAACAAATTAAATCAAAACACAGCTGGAGACGAATACACACAATGAGGACAGGAACAGGAAGGACCAAATAAGGGCAAGGACGGCACATGAGGAGCAAAACACACACACAAAACACGGACCAGAGTCTGACATAACTCCCCCCTCCCGGAAGGTGCGTCCCGTGCCGTACAACATCCAATGGGGAGGGGGGGTGGGCGCTCTGGAGGCCTCTAGGAGTAGGGTAACCAGACGGAAGGCCTCCAGGGCGACGCCCGTTCCGGGATCCCTTGCAGCTCTGGGCACCATGACGGATCTGGCAGTTCAGGGCACCATGGCGGATCTGGCAGTTCGGGGCGCCATGGTGGACCAGGGGACTCAGGCGGCCATGGCAAAGCAGCCTCCTAGGCCGCGGCCCCAGCCCCTGCCCTGGCCTCTATGGCTGGAGCCCTACTGCCCCCCCCACCAAAAAAATACTTGGGGAAGATTTCGGGCTCCGAGGCCCTCCGTGGGCCATAACTGAGGGCTGGAGCCCTCCCTGGGCTTAACTGAGGATCTGGAGCCCTCCCTGGGCTCGACAGGGAATTAGGAGCCCTCCGTGGGCTATACTCGGGAAGGGCACTTCTGACCGGAACTGGGGAACTGGATCCACTGGAACTGGAAACAGCACTCCTGGCCGAAACTGGGGAACTAGATCCCCTGTAACTGGGAATGGCACTCCTGGCCATGACTAAGGAACTGGATCCACTGGAACTGGGGACGTCACTCCTGGCCTATACGTCGGCCGAACTTGACAACGGCGCGGCCGGCACGCTTGACAGCAGGACGGTTCTCATACCGCGGGGAACAAACAGGGATAAATAAAAGAAAACAAAACATGGGAGAAAGAGCGCCGCTTACTGTTTATGGTCTGCTGTTCTGTCACACACACACACACACTGGGAGCGCAGGAACAAGCGAGGAGACGAGGAATAAAGTAAATCAAAAAGGTTTTAATGAAGGCACACTGGGGATCACAGGACGGGAGACATCAGGCAAACCAAAATGACACTTAACAGCAGACCGAGAACTAGGAACTGAGAACACTTTAAATACACAGACACCAATGGGACACACCTGGGAGCAAATGAACTAATTAATCAAAACACAGCTGAAGACGAATACACACAATGAGGACAGGAACAGGAAGGACCAAATAAAGGCAAGGACGGCACATGAGGAGCAAAACACACACAAAACACGGATCAGAGTCTGACAATATGTTTCTATAATATATTTAGTAGTAGCTTATCAATGGTGACTATGTCAGTAAATTTACATACGGATTGATATCATTTATATATAACAATTAGATGCTACCACTAAATATCTTAAATAACAATTTTCTGTACTTGATTATTACTGTACTTATTGTTATTTGAACAGAACCTTGCAGGATATAGTCTTCTCTTTAAAAGTAAATATTAAGGTTATTTTTAACCATATTCTCATGTTCAGATCAGTCTAGTAGTGTGGTAAAGTTCCAGGGGTTCCGGTGTTATGAGACTTTGAGTTTCTGTGATTTTTTGATTTTGTGGGCGAGACATACATGAATATCCATACATATCCCAGACATAAGGGAGTGTGTGTGGCCTGAAACTGGGAATTTTGATTCAGGTTAGTTTAGCCTGTGTCACCTCAACCACTGATCTATGTTATAGATCACAGAATGACAGGTATTTATGTACTGTAAGGTTACAACAGAGCAACCTGAAACTGAAACTACATTAATTTCAGTTCGTTGACCTCCTTAAGAAAGATACTAGAAGCCTCGCACATTCAATTTAGAAATGGCTGTGCACTTTAAAAATTATGTGATTCAGTTACAAAAAAATATTATGCCCACAGACATATTAACAGAGGTTTATTTTAGTTGTTACAGGCAGTGATGTATTCAACAAAAGATTACAACTAATAAAAGTCTCGTTATAAAACATTGCAAGGTACAAATTTAAATGGTTACCTGCCAACTCAGGCCGGATCCGTCTGGACGAAACGCCGATATGATACAACATTTTTACGTATACAGCTAAACGTGTCTCCGTGTGGACGGGGCCTCAGACATTTCTGCACTCTACTGCATTCTCAGCTTATTAACAGACTTAATAGCAACACATTTGTTTCAATTGACCAACTTCAACAGGCTGCCATTTGCACTTTTATAAGAACCACCCAACTGGCCCAATGATGGAATCAGATGGCGTGGGCGAAGGTATAATGCGTGTAGGTCTTTTACCTGCGCTTCTGCAATGTTCGCTTAATTTATTCGCTATTTACATGGCAGAATTTGCAAGAGCAAAGACTGAATGCTTCTCCAGAAAACTGAAATCTGCTAGTGCGTGAGGTTCAAACGAGAGAAAAGACCATCTATGAATGCCCTTATGGTTAAGGCGTCTTAAATTAGGACTACAGTACTGGGTAAAACTTAGTGGATGTAATTATACGTATCCAGCAAGGTGTCTGTTGCAAGAGTTTGTTGGAAGTAGGAAATATAATATATATTTTTTTAAATGTAAATCAGTGGGCTAGGAACATGGGATTGGAACAGGGAGGTATTGCAGAGCATATAGGATGGTTACCTATGCCATATTGGGTGATGCCTGAGTTGAAAATTGAGTTTGCTTTTCTTCAGGAAAAAGATAAGATGAAGGTGATACCAAGAATAGTGGTATATCTTAATTCAATTAATCAGAGTAGTATAATAATTTTTACAGATGGGTCTAGAGATCCATTTAATGGGAGGGCTGGGTCTGGGGTGTATGTGGAGAAACTAGGGTTGAAAATTGTTCGACGTATTTCGAATGGAAGCTCTGTTCTTACTGCTGAGTTAATGGCAATTTTATGGGCTTTATGGTGGATTGAAGAAGCCAGACCGAGAGAAGTTTTTATCTGTTCTGACTCTGCAGCAGCTCTGGAAACTTTTAAGAGCAGGAAAATCTAAAGTTCGACCTGATATTGTAAATGACATCTTGAGTGTGTTTTTTAGAGTTGGGTTTGCTTGCAATATCACTTTCTGTTGGGTGTCTGGGCATGCTGGGATGATAGGGAATGAGCAGGCAGATTATATAGCGAAGGAGAGCTTAGGAAGAGAAGGATGGGAAAAGGAAATCAAGGGTAGACATTATTTTTCTATTCAACCTAAAGTTAGGAAAATATGTTTTTGCACTTGTCCATCCCGTAGGGACTCAGTTAAACTGTGTAGATTGAGGTTGGGGCACTGTGGGTTAAACTACTTTTTGTATATAGTAGGAAAGCATATTTCTGGATTATGTGAATGTGGGAATATGGAAACTGTAGGGCATGTTTTCTTGGAATATAGGAAGAATAATATAGAAAGAAAATCACTTTTTGATAAATTGGCAGAACTTGGAGTTGAAGTGTTTTCTGTTACTTCGTTGTTTGGACACAGTGATAAGCATAAACTGATCTCTGAGGCAGTTCTTCAGTTCTTGCATAATACAGGACTGTAAATAAGAATTTAGTTCAAACTTTGACCTGTGGAGGGCAGTAATACGCCCAGTAGCGTCTACGCTGCCGGAAAGACATAAGAAGAAGAAGAAGACCATCTATGGGACAAGCCGGATTCCACCAAAGTCATTACAACAAATAGGTCATTCTGATACATGCAATGACTATACATTATGACATGTAGGCATTTTTATATTTATGTACACAATAATAATCTTTTACTTTGTAATCCTTTCATTTTTAATATTTGGCATGTTTGTGTGCTGTTGCATGTCCCTGTGTGTGTAATAAGCAGTGTACGTGCATTGGGTACCCGCTTATAGGCATTTATTACTAACACAACTTTGAAGTAAATAACAAAAATGCTGTGCCATTGACTTCAGACGAGGTTTTAGTTAGTCAATGGCACAGTCGTTTTCAGTTGCCTCAAAATAGCAACGCGCCAACAATGCACCTGAACACACCTCATTTTCAGACCAGCACATCCATGGGCAAACAGAGTGCAAGGTGCAAGTGCATTTGCTATTTAAACAACGTGGCGCTGGACATGAAAATGATAACTGCGTCGGGCTGAAACTAAAAAAACACTTGCATCGTGCTTGGTGTCGCATTGCACCAGGTGTATGATAGGGCCTTCTATCTGCCGCCTACTGCTTGCTTTTGATAAAAAGTAATCTCGATCGGGAGCAGTTAAATAATTGTAATGACACCACACAACAGAGGATTTTTGGACAAAAAAAAATTGTTTGCGATAAGCTTGGAATCAGGCCATGCCCCCTGGTCGTTCAGGGGTGCAAATCGGGCTTAAAATCGGGTTTAAATCCCCTAGTGTGTTCCAGCCTTAGTCATTTTCCATACAACTTGCTAAATCAGTGATAGACAGAAATCAAAAGATCACTGATGAAGTGCCTACTGCTCCATTCATCCAGTTTGATCTATCCTGGCCATAAATTTGAGGCATGACAGGTAGATCTGAGGTAGACATGATCTACTAGTCATAATGATTTCATGAGAGTTCATAACAAATCAAATATAACATTTTATTTGCAGGTAAGAATGCATCATGCCAATTACACAATTAAACAATTAGAAGTCAATTCAGATAGGACAATGCAATTGTGAATCACATTGTAGCCACATGGCATGACATGCAACCTTTTACCTAACTATTTCAAACAACACCAACAGCAAAGCAATCGTGTTTTAAAGAATAAACTCAACTAGTCTGTGTGCACATGTAGTAGAACAAACAACTATAAAGGGAGTTGTATGAGTACAATGTGTTTAACACAATTACACATTTGAAAATAAAAAGAAATGCACAACTGAGAGCAGGGAAACACACAGCAGTATGTGAGAGTTCTAGCGCAGAGCTCCGGAGACTCACAGACACTTTGTGAGGGTTTTCTGGTTACAGGATCCCGAGATGTTTTTTCATTTCACTTTTATATCCAGACCAGAACAAATAAATCTTACAATCTAAGATTTAAGACCTTTTGGTTTGTTAGGATCTCGTGACCCAAGGGCCATACCTGGCTGGAGAAGGGAAAACATTCTCACCAGAGACCCTGAGGAGGACACAACCCTCAGCAGCAGAGCAGAATTCTTCAAATGTTTTCAATCTTTTTCATAATATAAGTGACTGCTGTGAAATTGAGACTATTTTACCAATCGCACGGAGACCTTTAGAACGATACTAAACCTGAAGGGAAAAACAACAGATATATATCATATCTTCTCCAGATTATTTTTATTATTTTGTTGCATGGCATCTGTTTTGTTCAACTTCCTGAGGTTTGGTTTCATGGGGAGATCATTTCAGGTCTTACACATTCAAAAAACTAAAGCAAAGTATGCCAACAGTGGACCCCACACTAGAAAAGATGTACATTAAAAGTCATGGCTGTCTCTCAATAAAGTAACTGAAATTTTATGACAAATTGAAAAAGCATGACGTCTGCTTTATTTATTTCCTCTGGGGAGACAGACACCTTTAAAAGAAGGAAGAAAGCTGAAACCAGTAGTCAGATGTTTCAAATACCAACAATAAAGCACACTATCAAGTGCAAATGCAAATAAAAAATAAAAAATAAAAAAAACAACTAAGCTCTCCATCCTGATGCCCTCCAACATCTGAACTTCTCGCATGGGTAAAGAAATGTGAAGGCTGAATGTTTCTGATGTGATTTTCTATTACCAGTGAAGTGTCTGGTCTTCCAATATAATACGGCTGGTTACTACTTTGAATTTGATCAGTCTGGTAACACCAAGAAAGACAGCGTGCGTATAATCAGGTTTGAAACCTGTAAGTTATGATAGACCTTTAATTCGTCTGACTGGCCTACCTTCAACTAAGCCTACCTGCAGGTCTCTTATCGTACACTTTGAGTCTCTGTCATCATGTCATGAGGCCAACAAAGTGCACTTAGCCTGTCTTTCAACTAAACGTTGGGATGAACACCCATACTCTTTGCAGGACAAGTCTGTTTCATGTCATTCATCTTTGTTTGGCTACATATATTAAATCCATAAACAAAGAGAAGAAGGTTCGACTATTAAAGCAAATCACCACTGCAGTATAGTGGAGATCAGGGGCAGCGCTAGGGGTGGGCAAATGTTTTCAGTAAAGTCTTGAATGTTTTTATTACTATGCCTTGTATGCATCATCACTGAATTTTCAAGCGCATTCAAATCATTTCTATTAGGACCGCAGATTTGCTCTCTAATAAATAATGGATTCTTAAGTGTTGTCTGCAACACTATTTACTTCATCTCCAGCAAAGGGCCTCTGCACACAAAAAAGAAAAGCCCTGCATGAACATGCAGCGTAATTAAGCGAGTGGCTTTTCCTGATGAATATTTGTTACTGAGCCCCGTCACTGTGAAGCAACAAATATAGATATTTAATCATACTATGCTCTTTCTAGGACACACGCATTTAGAGCAAGTAAATTAATGATTTGGTTAGCACAGTCATGGCAGAATTTTCCTCGTGTCAGGGCAACAATTCATGAATTCAATAAACAAGATGTAACATTTATAAACCAATGTAACATTTAAACATATATTTTTGTATCCAGTGTATTCTGAAACATGGATGTCTCTGAGCTAAAATTTTAAGAACAAAAAAGTATATTTACTGTTCACATAAACACAAATCTCAAAAAATGTCATTCTAGCAGTTAACTGCAACATTATGTGATGCAGTGTAATTAGTAACATTAAATGAGGTTTATTTGAAATGATTAAAGTAGGTTTCAAAGAATGCTTTATGTGCTAAATGGTATTTCAGTCAAGACTTTTGCTAAATTTAATGTTACTTAATTTCATTTTAATCAGATGTGGTCTTACAGTGGTCTTTCACTCCACTGTAAAACAGAAATGCTCAGCTTGAACCCATTTTCTTTAGTAGGCTTTTACTCAATATGTTAAATTAGCAGGATAAAAATAAACTGTTGCTGATTAACCCTATAAGGTTAGAAGAGAACCGTAAGATTAAACCACAAAAGTAGGAGGTTTACGGTTCTCTCATATTAATTTTTTTTTATTTACACAGCAAAGATTATTCTATCATTTTCTGTAATTCCTGCTTGTAAACATTTTATATTGTTTTCAGCTTCATCAAAATAGCAACAAAAACACTAACTGACAGAAATTGAGATCTCATAATAATTACTGGAAAGTGATTAGGTATTCTGGGTAAGCCTGTACATCGTTGAAGATCACAAACATGGTTGGGTTGTTCATGTTGTCAGTCACACTGTTATAGAGATCAGCACTATTGGAGCTCTTCGCAGGGGGAACAGGAAGGCCTTGTTTTCCTTGAGTGAAATCTCCAACAAGCACCCTGGCGAAGTACATGCGTTTGTGTCCGTTGATATCAGGTTTAGAGTAGCCTTGGGCTGAGTATTTTGGGTCCACAGCAAAATATGAACCATTCCCATACATGGTTCCTAAAAACAGAATAAGAGTAATACATTATTGATTTAAAAGACAAATGGATACAAGCACAAATAAAGTTTATACTGAATTTGACTGATACCATGCATGCCAGCGAAGCTGCGATTGAAGCCGTGATTGTTGATCTGATCTGTCTTATCAGGGCCAGTGCCGTGGAAGAGACGCTTTTCATTTTTCGTGTGTTTGTTTTTGTCTTCCAGTTCCTCCTTTTTGATCATGTAGTTTCTCCAAAGTGCACTGTTTTGGACTCTTTCAATCTACAGACAAATAACAATTAACAAAACAGTATTACACCATTGTACTAAATTTAGACAACAGAACTTTTTAAAACTATTAAATACACATTGCTCCTCCCTCTCAGTATGGTCTTACTGTAATGATACTGTTACTGGATAGTCCGGTGCTTGTGAACTCTTTCTCCACTTCTGCATATTTTTTTGAGCCTGCTGTGAGTTTTACAAGAACAACCGACTGTCCTTTCATGTCCTCCCAGTCTGAAGGCAAAGATCTTTGAGCTGCAACTGTGGACAAAAATATGACCCCAAAGTAATCTTTGATGGCCTTCAAACAGACAATTTTATCCAGCTAATGACTAATTTTTCTGTTTTTTATTACTAAAATCATCTCACCTTCCAGATCTACTCTGTTCAGCTCAATCCTTAGACTCCCTTTTGTGGCCACTTTGCGAACTAAATCGGCTTCATATTCAACATTATTAATCTTGATTTTCACTGAAGGCTGTTTCTTCTGAAAGGCCTGTTCCAGGTCATAATTGGTCAATATATCAAAGTTTTTGATGCTCCGGCCATTTTCCTGATATTGCCACTGAACCACACTGCTAATGAAAAAAGCCTCACGCCTTCGGTTTTCATTCCTTTCCACCTTTCTGATCATGTCCCGAATACGACTCTCTGCAGTGTGAACGTCTCTTGTCAGACCCTCCAGTGTGATGACAGAGTCTCGGCCTTTCTTCTCAAGCCGGACACTGACTGTGAGCTCCCTCTGCATGGCGTTCAGCGTTTCTCCATCCTCCTTGGTGAAATGAGTAATGGCTGGATCATGGAATGGGATAGTCACATGCTCCCGTAATATCATGCTGTTGATCATGTCCTTGCCTTCACTCAAGTCCTCTGGTGTCTCCCCACACAGCTGAAACACCGCTGGCTCAATTTCTTCACCAACAACTACAAACTCTTCATTTGCAGGAGAGTCTGAATTTCCCAACGAGAAGAAGTCTACAGGTTTAATAGAAATAAAAGAGGGATCAATTATTGTTTATTAAACTTATTCACATGAAAAGATGAAAAGAGCATTGTATTTATTTACTGACCTTTAATTTTGGTAAGCAGACCTTTTTCCTCCTCTACTTTCTCACCAGTTCTTCTGATCATGCTTTGGTGGAAGTCTGCCACCATGTTTGTCTGGAATATAAGAAACTTCAAAAGCCTTACATGCACCGGTTTCTTTTTCTTTACAAAGTCGACAACTGCATCAACCATTGCATCTGCAACATCCGCTGGATTTGCACCTCCCTGACCTAAAAGGTTTAGAGACATATTTACCCCCAAAAAAGTACAAATAAATAAACAAATACATCATCAATATACTGCAACCACTAGGTGTAGAAAAGTAAGAATGCACAAAGCATCTTACCAGTGCCAAGAGCTGGGAAGGCAACAGAAGTAATCTTCCGTGACTCACATAACTTCAGAACAGACAAAACAACATCCTTGATGTCAGATGGACTATTGCGTCCAATAACATGGATGATGTTTCCACATGGAAGCTGCCCGGATGAGGTCACAATCTCTGTTTGCTGTATAGTTGATGATCCCACTATTGGAAAAACATGTATACCTATAGCATCTTAAGCTTAATAGATCTCTGTTTCAGTATAAATTAGAATAAATGGCTAATTTGAAAGTATACAAACCCATCTGTAAACATTCTTGTTCAACTTGCACTCCAGCAGCATCTAAAATGGCCTTGGATACTCCTAGATTACAAATAAAAAGTGCACTTACATTGTACTGTAATTCTCTTTGAATGTGAAATAAATTTTAAATGGAACCAAAATAAGTAATCATGTATGTAAAGTTGTATTGACCTGCTTTCAGTGAAAATGTCTGATTTGAGGAGTTGACAATGGCATCAGTTTTTTCTTTAGTTATGTCTCCTGATGAAACCTCCAGAGTCACCTGATCCAGCTGCATAGTGTGCACCCCAAGAGAGGGAGAGGAGACTTTGCCAATGACCCCTAATTATAAGAAAATAATATATTCATAATAATGTTCAATATGCTTTCTGTAAACAGAAAAAAAATGAGTGTAATGGACTTCAGATAAGAAAGTTTTACCAGAGGTCTGAGCTGATTTGGCAAAAAGATTCATTTTAGGCATGAGATGTCGATGTGCTCCTTTTATGATGGGACCCTGAATCCCATGTCTAAAGATGCTAGTAAAGCACTAATAGATAAAGCACAGAAATATACAAGATAACATTAACATGAGCAAATATGGTAGAATATCTAAATTCAATCAAAATTTCTTTCACTCACCTCTATACTCTCCTTGTCAGAAGGGTGTACAATCACAGTTACCTCTTGAAGGTTTGTGAAATTAAATTTCTGGACTTCTGTCAGCATGATTCTGGCCACCAAATCTTTAGGAAAGCCAAGATTCCCAGTCCCAATTGCTGGGAAGGAGATTGAAGCCATTCCTTGCGTTTCTGCTGTTCTCAGACAATCTCTAATGATCTGAATGAGTACCTTTTAAAATATAGATAAATACATCTATTATCTATCTATTATCTTTTAAGAAAGTACCATCTAAATATGTTACATATGGGACACATTTGCATTATCCAATTTAAATTCAACAAAAATTATTAATCGAAAAACAAGGATACATTTGATTGAGGTTGATTAAATGTATGTCTCACCTTATCTGCTGAGTTTTGTCCACCATGCCAAAATGGGCAAACAACATGGAGGACCTTGGAACATTTCAGTTTATAACCATCTGTGATGACCATTTCACCATAATTCACATTGTTTGAGTGAGCAGCTCTGGTGATTTCTGACTGGAGCTGATGACCAGCAGTCTGTAGGAGTGCTTTTGAGACGGCACCTTTACTGAGGTCCAAGTCCTCCGATATAGTGTTTACAATGACATCGGCCTGCAGAAGAAACAAATGATACACTTGTAAAGGGAGAGGAATTTTTCAAGTGTAATATCATAAGAAGGGTTGTTTCTCTGGTAGATATTTCTTGTATTAAGGTTTTTAGGATTCTTTTTACTGGCATTCAGTCAATAAATAGATTTTAGCAAATGGCTGCAATATAACAAAGAGTGAAAAATTGAAGGGGGTCTGAATACTTTCCGTACCCACTGTAAATAACTATCTTTATGTTTCTATAATAACAAGTAATCTTAGATTCACTTACACTCGCATCCTGGATGTTCCCTTTGCTCAGAATGATTTTTAGTCCCTCTTGTGTAGTTTTGGTCTTAAGAACACTCAATCCTTCAGATATATCTGGTCTGCCACCATAGCTGGAAGTTTCTCTTCTCCAGTGTGCTTCGTCTTCAAAGTCTCTATTACCACGAACTTTGACAACTTCAAAATCTTGGTCTATTTGACCATAGTTTCCACGACTATTTAAACGATAGCCTTGTCCATAGCCACTATGCCCATGGGGTTTGGCTTGATAAGGGAAAGTCATTTTGGGGTTATAAGCAGCAAACTCCTTTCTGACAGCTTGAGTCATGGCATTCACAGTACTGCCATTATTGTCAACCAAGTGAATTTCAGTTAATGTGCTATTGGAGCCTCTGTGGTTATGATATTTGATGTACTCACACACCTCCTTAGCTATCGATTCAGTGCAAAGATCAAGAGGACAACCAAATACCCCTGAGCTAATAACTGGAATTGCAATAGAGGAGCAGTTTCTGCTTGACGCCTGGTTCAGACTTTCCCTCACAGCACGTTTTAGGCATTGAACAGTGGTGCGTCTGTCTGAATCGTTGAAGCGAGGTCCAACAGCGTGCACTACATATTTACAGGGAAGACGACCAGCATCAGTGATGATAGCTTCTCCAGGCTTCAGAGCCCCATTTGCTTTTGTGTGTTGGTCACAGGTTTGCTGCAGACTTGGTCCAGCAGATTGGAGAAGTGCTAAAGCTACACCACCAATGTGCTTCAGATCTTCATTAGCAGCATTGACCACAGCATCAACATTGATCTTGCAAATATCCACCTTCCTGACAGTAACAGTTACTCCACCTGGCATCTGAACCTCACAAGAGACCTGACCAATATCTTCAAAACTACCTTCAGTAAATGCATCTTCCTCCTCTTCCAGCAAATCATCTTCTTGAAGAACCACCACAAATCTTTTTTCCTTCAACAGCATTAAAAGCATCATTTTACCCTGCTCCATGAAGTACTTCTTTGCTCCTGCCTTTTTAATTATCAGTGTGTCTGTGTAGAGAGCATCTGCCAACCTTTTAAGCAGAGTCATAGCTGGCTGAACAAATGTACGCTGTCCAGACAGTTTGATCCAGGGTCTCTTTGAATCAAAACGGACTTTCACCTCATCAGACTTAATAAAATGCTGGCAGTCTTGTGATTTTCGGACTTTTATGAATTCAACCGCGGCATGTGATTTGACACGAACCGTTTCTTCAATTCTAGTGTGTTTCTCAATGAAACATCCTAAGTTCTCACTGACCTCCATCACCGGTTCTCTGAATCCAGTCACCATTACTTTGTCTTTCTGTTTAGATAAATGTATAATCACAGATGTCTTTTTGGAAGTATTGAACAATTCGTGCAATTGCTTTTTGAGATCCTGCCACGCTGGCATTTGAAGGACACCCTGATCTTCTACAGTGAGGTCTTTGGTTGTGAGAACTGTATTCACCCTCTTCTCTGCCTCAGCAAGTGCTCTTTCTGTACTTCCAACCACAACAACATCTCCATTTTCGATTGTGTAGACAGCAGTTATTCCATGAGATATGAAGAGATCTATGGACATTTCATTACAATCCATTGATCTCAGGAACTCCAGGATTGAACAGTTAATCTGTAGGTGCTTCTGTTTCATATTTATATTCTTCTCAAGGACCCAGTTCTTGAAAATGAGAATTTCTGTATGAAGACCTGATAAATCTAATCTGTTAAAGTTTTTGTTGTAGTCAATGTGCAGGTCTGGAGAAACAGCACTTTTCAGGCCATCTTGTTCAAGCAGGGAGTACATGGCAGGAGAAATCTCCATGTACTCTGTCACACTGTTCTTCTCTCTCTCAATTTGTTTTGTTGCTCTCTCTAAAATTTTCTCCATTATTGATTTCAATCCAATTATCTCATGGGTCATTCCTGCCAATGTCAACACCCCTTTAGGGGCATCCAAATCTATGAAAACCTGATCTTTCACTAATTCCTTAACATCACTCTCCACTTTGAACTCCCTGATGGCAGGATGTACACTGACTGTAATGGGTTCAGCCAGCTTCAAATGTGGTCTTTTGCCACCATATAAGACAGTTTCAAGTGATTTGAAGTAGGGATATATCTTGACTGGAACATCACAGATGTTATTCTCTTGCTTAAAAACTCTCTCTTTGGCTGAAAAGAAAGCAATATGTCAGCATAGTGAATCAATGCACTGATGTCAGCCCTCTACGAACACCTTGGCAATTGAATGAAACAAAGCGACGGCGAGGCGTGCGCTTCACACTAGAGTTTACGGTACGTTAAATACAGGTGCGCTGCACATCCAGATGAACTGAAAAACAGCACAGATCGCTTGGCGGAGAGTGAAACTCTGAAGCGCTCAGTCAGAGAGTGTTCGGCGAGAGAAAATATATCTGAGCTAAACTTATACTTAGCCTCCAACTCACACTGGCGAGTAAAATCTGAGAATTTATTAGCAATTGGCTAATATTAGACATCATTTAGTCGCCCAGAGTAAGATTTAGTCGCATATGCGAGTGATTTACTCGCAATGTAGAGGGTTGGATGTTGACAAGTTTTACTTAGTCTAGTCTTAACTGTAATAGCAAAGAATATCAGCAACTGCAAATGTATTTACCTTCTTCCTCCTTAAAAATAATTATGGCTGCTTGTTCTGATGGAATTGTGATAACTTCCTCTACTGGACCGCCCCATTTCTCAAAATACAGTTCCAGCAGCATCTTGGTAGCCTCAGCTGGAAGATCCTCCACCCGCACACATGTGCTTCTCTCCAGTGCACGGGCCCTCAGATTATTCTTCTTGAATTTTTCATGTGTCCTGCTGTCCTCAAGGAACTTTTCTGCAGCTGTGAAGTTACATTTTTTTTTTTACAAAATTAAATTTTACTGAAAGTGCCAAACACATTTAATCAAGCCATAATAACAACATACAACTATATATACAAGCAAAATATTAAAGGTATCATGTTAAAAAAAAAGAAATAATAATAATTTTCAGCCATACAAACTTAAATACAATACTTTCTCCAGTCCAAAAAAGACCATCACGTAAACCCCAAGTGTTATGTTATCAAGATTAAACTAAATTAATTTAATTTAAATTAAAAAATGACTAAGTAAAATATGTTTAAATTATGATAAAAAATATATACATGTATATTTTATAGGATAACTTACCACTAGGATTTTTAAAAGTCACAACTGCTTTTCTTAATTCTGGTATTAATTCCATGCTAAAGTCATTTTCAGAAAGACTGCTTATGATCTCTACCAAAAGAGTCAAAACTTCTTGTTTAATATCATCTGGAAGGTTCTCCAGGACCACAGCACTTGACTCTTGAGGCTTCTTCACATCCACATCAGTCTGCAGGGCACTTTGAGCTTTAGGAAAAATAAAAGTGACACATATTTTATTCAATCTCAATGCTAAATATTTTTTTGTATAAAGTCAGCTAGCAGTGTCAGCTACAGATAACAAACAAAATAATATTTTGTATCAATTATTAACAACATAACGCTTGACTGACTAATATTCCACAGTCTGTTCGGAAACCATAGGCTCTCAAGCCATATATGGTTCTTTCAGTGAGTGGGTTGACATAAGAAAAAAAAACAACAACAACAATATTTTAAACTTTTTTCCCTCAATAATCAAAGCTAGTGAGTCGATTTAATTAAAAATCCATATATTACATATTTTAGAATATTACTTAATTCTTGATCAATACTTGATCAATGCCCATTCGTCATGTATAATACACCAACCAATCATGATCTGGCACAAGAAGTTCAAATTTTATTGGACAATAATGTGAAGTGGAGTGGTCATTTCCCATTCTTATTCATAAATTGTTTGAAAATGGCATGGGACAGACAAGCTTACATTTGTGGAGCGATCTGGATATGCGGTTTGTCTCATTTTATAAATCAAATTACATCGCTGACAAAATGGATGCTAAATGACTACAAACGCACTGCACAAATACTTGCAGCACCAAAGGTCGCAATAATGGTAATCAGTAATCAATTCACTATATGATACACACGTTCACTATTTCATGAAACTATCATGGTTAATGAAGCCCAAGTGCCACCTACAAGCCTATTATGTGAAGGAACATAATAGGCCTGGCGAAATGGTGACGGGAAAGGACTTTATTATATTACTATTTTGGATAATTATGCAGAATTTGGCTGGCGAAATGGTGACGGGAAAGGACTTTATTATATTACTATTTTGGATAATTATGCAGAATTTGGCTGGCGAAATGGTGACGGGAAAGGACTTTATTATATTACTATTTTTGATAATTATGCAGAATTATGGAAGTGTCTTATGCTCATCAAGCCTGTATTTATTTGATCAAAAATACAGAAAAAAACTGTAATATTGTGAAATATTAGTACAATTTAAAAGGATGTTTTTCTATTTTCATATACTTTAAAATATCATTTATTTCTGTGATGCAAAGCTGAATTTTCAGCATCATTACTCCAGTCTTCTGTGCATGATCCTTCAGAAATCATTCTAATATGCTGATATATTATGTTGAAAACAGTTGTGGTGCTTTTTTTATTTAAATTTGTATTTATTTATTTATTTATTTATTTATTTATTTTTGGAACCTGTGATACTTTTTTGGGGTTCATTGATAAATAAAAAGATAAAAAGAACAGCATTTATTCAAAATAGAGATGTTTTCTAACAATATCAATCTTTACTATCACTGTATCTATAAATTTAACAAATCCTTGCTGAATAAATTTTACACTGCCCCTATTTTTCATCTGAGCCCCTGCCCCTGAGGAACTCTCTGCACATCCCTGTACATAACTTATATATTTACCATCAAAAATGAATGTTAATTAGTACTTCCGCAATAACATTACAAAAACGTAACCAATAAAAATTACATATACGTAAGCAGCCAGAGACCAAAGTCCAGATGATTTACTTACGTGGTTCCTGATATCCACATGCCTGCTCTGTCTGAAATAAAACAAACGTAAAGCATTTACAATTATGTAAATGGAGAACTAAACAAGTAGGTTTAGTTAACTGGTCTCTCTACTCCAGCCTTTTCAACATTATGGAGAAATGACAACCATCTTCTTAGAGAAACTCTAAAATACAAATATATCGCAACCATAAAACTGAATTAATATTCTTATGATAGACCAGGGGTGCCCAAACTCGGTCCTGGAGGGCCGGTGTCCTGCAGAGTTTAGCTCCAACTTGCCTCAACACACCTGCCTTTAAGTGTCTAGTATGCCTAGTAAGAGCTTGATTATCTGGTTCAGGTGTGTTTAATTGGGGTTGGAGCTAAACTCTTCTGGACACTGGCCCTCCAGGACCGAGTTTGGACACCCCTGTGATAGACCATTCTGTTCATTTATAGTGACTTCATGCAATCTAAAGGGTTTGATTTACAGAGCCACTCATCTGAGGTTTGATTGTAAAAGCATTGTGGTCCTAATTCTGCATTTTGTAACAAGTCTACTCACTTGTTGTCCAGCGCTGTCTGCCTGTTCCTCTGCATCACTGGGTTTGTACACTTTCAACTTGATTTTCTGATTGTCAGTGGTAATAATGTGTTCTGCCTTTGAGAGCACGCTATCTTGGACTTAAACACAAACAATCACACTTAGTCAGATACATCACACAACTTAGAAAACATCACAGTAAGCTATACTGTATATCATGTTACGTGATATTAGCGGATGTGATTATAATGTGATGATTAACAATGATGTGACATTGGCCTATGAGCTCAAAATTCTTCTAGTATGTCCCACATGTTTGGAAATGCTTTGACATGAGTGACAGGTATTGTTTTATCAGTTAATTGCAGAGTCTGCACAAGTACATAACTGCGACTTTAAATTATTTCTGCAAAATTTATTGTAATTCTTGATGTTTATGTATGTTTATGCTGCATGACTTTTAAGTGTTTTAAAGAATGGGATTTGAACATTTGAGTCGCTTGCAGAGACCAGAGTTGCCATGGAAACATGTGAACAACAGAGAGAAGCAGCAAAACATGTCTCTCGCGGTTGTTTGTACTGCTTACAGGTAAATTTATTCGCCAAAATCACATAAATAATACACCAAGTTTTTCTTATCACGTAACTTCTAAATGTATTTCTTTCAAATATTTACTTTATAGTTTATACTTTATATATTTTTTAGCAGAGGTAACTCTAGATTGAGTTCTTCTTTATGAAAGTTTGGGCTTTTTAACAACTTTATGTACAGAAGAGGGTTTTGTATTTATAGTTTTGAAAAGGTTTTCTTCGTAATTTGTCTGAAAGGCTGATTTATTTATCCCGGATTTATTTATTTAAATGGAACACATGAAATTTGATCGTGTCAACATGCACTGTTTGTCCATGTTAATGCGACAACATACACAGCAGCCAATGAAATTACTGTATTTGGGACTATATCTGGATATGTGACGATTTTACATTGGTATATAAATCAGACATCACGTTTATTAATGAAGGACGTCTTAAATGGTAAACTGGTATTCAAGTATGCAAACATCAGATGTTCTATTTGTTCATGAGGGATAATGCATTGGTACATGTGATGTCAGTCTTATGTCATCATTTGTCATGGCCTTTGTAGTTGTTTAGTTCAACGATCAGGTAGAAAAGTCTTAACTTACACTGTAATATTAGTTAATTTACTCTAACACAGTAAAGCTATGCCGCAGTGAACTAAAGAAAGAATTATTGTGTGGGTAAATCTAGAGGTATATTTGCTTTTAAAAGTTGAGTTGAGAGACATGTTCAAATTCATTGTCTTAAGGAGGCAAAACTGTGCGTCTTTACACGTACCAAAGAAACACAGCGATAACTGATGCCTTAAAGGGATAGTTCACCCAAAAATGAAAAGTTGATGTTTATCTGCTTACCCCCAGGGCATCCAAGATGTAGGTGACTTGCACCCCCAACCGAAAGCAACTTCCCGCGCCCGATAAACAGATAAACATCAAATTTTAATTTTTGGGTGAACTATCCCTTTAACACAGCGAGAATGTGCTACACATACAAAAGAAACACAAATTCACCGCATTAACTGTGCATGTTGACACGGTCAAATTTCACATGTTCTGTTTAAAGACATTTGGCCCCATCTGCCTTCCATAAAAGTGTGGCCTCTACATAATCGTTGACATCATAAATTAAGATAAACCTTAAACCGGTAGGCTATTGCTTGGTAAACAAATTTGATAATAACTGTTCTGTGATTTCAGGAGAGAGATACAACAGAGAGAAGCTACAAGTGGTTTCTTAAAAGAAGAGCTGACATAAACAGACGAAATGAGGAAGCTCCTTTAAAAATCTATGCATTTTTCCCCACAATATATTTCACCTATATCAATATGCATCTGTTACAAAATTAAATTTAAATATATTACATATTATATGATTAAATGATGAGTTACGTGCAAGTAATTGATATATTGTTTAAAGTAATTTAATACAGACAATTTATACAAAAAATTGGGTGCTGTTCTTATGAGATTCACCAAATGGTGAGAAAAAAAATTTGATTTTGTATGTTAAAATGCTTGCTCCTGTCCCAGCTTAATATGCCGCATCAATTAGTAAAGAAATTAATTAATAATAATTCATGATTTGATCTTGAAATTACACACTTCACCTTTAGATATAAAGACACATCTCTTGTACACTTGACCCTCTAACACTGGAACTCTCTATTCTATTTCTATTCTATCTGCTTGTTTTCTTTTTAACTATTATGAAAAAAAAATAACAATAATAACTTGGCCCTCTAACACTACCTCTATCTATTCTATCTTATTTCTATCTACTTTTTATTATTTTTATTTATTATTTTTTAAAAACTCGCTATGTGTGCTGTGTTAGACTAACTGGGACCTGTCACAATACTTATATATTGTTGCTCTTTTGATTTTTTGATTGCTTCTATTGCCCTCTTTTGTAAGTCGCTTTGGATAAAGGCATCTGCTAAATTATTAAATGTAAATGTAAATGATAAATATTTAACAAGGCCTTGACGTCTAAACATAATTAAGGGGCACTGTATGAGCAGTAATAAATGAATACGTAAACATACAAATGTAAACTATTATCTTACATATTTTTTTTGTATATATATTTTTTATTAAATTGCATTTATTTTAATATGTATCAAAAATATAGTTTTTGTCACACTTTATTTTAATGTGTCATACATTTTACATGTATTTTAAGGTGTCCTTGTTACAGTGATTGCTGCAACATTTAAAACAATACATGTAGTATTATTATAGTAACTACATGTAACAAGGACGCATTAAAATAGTGTTATCACTGTTTTTATTGTTTTCATATTATTATTTTTTTATGTATTTATTTATTCTAAGGGCTTGTTTCTTAATGTAGCCTTAATAAAACCTGGCATTGTTTTGTCACGTATATAATGTTTACCTTTGTCCAACTTTGCCACTGGCCCGCTGGCCTTGTTGGTTGGTTATGATAGACCAATTTGAACGTTAAAATTCACCGATTATATAAGTGCTAACTTCGCGAGAGTTTGTCGCACTTTGTATTTGATCCCGAAATTACCTTAGGTGTCTGGAAATCTTGATAACAAAAACTCTGTTTGTCAACATATGCTTTTGTGTTCAGCGCTTACTGTCCGGTGTTTTGAACAGAATCGTAGCGGATCGGCTTCCGTCATTATATTGCACGACGCAGTCTCCTCCTTGAGATTTCTTCTTACTCTGGAAGTAAATCTGAAGTTTATTTTTCACACTTTTAGCGTGTTCAGGCCCCCAGTCTCCCTCTACAATGATGGGATAATATTCGTCCATCGCGATCCTTCTGAACAAATAGGAAATGACTTACGAGTCAGAGTTTATATAGTTGATCACGCCCTCACTTTCACTTTCGTTTCTGCATAAATTTACCGTGAAACTGAGAGTGTGGTCTGTTTTTAACTTGGGCACGATAGCAGTGCGATTATTTATAAAAACAGCTGATAAGTAGGCCTAAAACAAAATAATTATATTCCGCACTCGTAGCTACTGTTAAACAGTCTGCCGCCTCCAAGTTAGGCTAACCTGGAAACTCGTATAGGCCTACCTCCAAATCGGGCATTTGTTATGCAACATGTCACGGATTCAAGTCGGATACACAACGAGCGAGGACATTGCCTAAACCATCCAAAAAAATTATAAACAACAAATCCAAATAACTACATCTGTTGGCATATTAAATGAAATTATTTATAGGGTGAATTCGGGTAATCTGGGACACCTAAGCTCCAGTGTTAGGTGTGGCATGTCTCCTCTGGGTATAATATCAACATTCTTTCTTCTGGTGTGGTTAGAAAACATCTTAGGGATTTCAGAAAAGTCTAATGTGTTGATCTAATGTGTTAGATAGATATCGAAATAAATCGCAGAAGTCAAAATTGCAAAAAATGTCCCAGATTACCCGAATTCACCCTACGTGGTATCACCAGGGGCGGAGCCAGACATTATAAACATTCGGGGCTTAGCCCAAATGTTATCCCCTAAAATTTACTTCCAGATGAATTCTTCAAACAGTGGTACAAGAGAATGTGGTGCTGGTCCTTCAAGAGTCACTCACAACTTATCTGTCCATAATAAAGCCTATAAAAAAATCTTAATGTATTTCACAATACTTCAGCATGTTATCCTTATTAAGTGAGGGTCATTTTTTTAGGATTTTTTACCCAAGCAAAGTTTCTGAGAACCTGACTCCTTGTAATTCTGGAGACTCGAAGGTTGCAGTTCTGGAAAATGGTGGCACTGGAGACTAAATGTTTCCTGATGGGTTTACATCGAATTCTTCACATTAATCCCAGTGAGCATTTTGCTGTCCAATGGCCATGTCTTAACTTTGCAATTTCTGTATTGCATTAGTTTTGAATATTTCTCATGGGGATTTAATAATTTTTATAGGAAATTATGATCCGCACTCAGGAGAACAGTCTTCTGTTTTCGTTTTATTTTACATTCATCACTGATGGGAAAAGACACAAACGTTTCAGCTCAAAGCCTTCCTCAGTGTGCAAAGCAATTCAATCCCTCCACCCACTTTTCAAATCACAAATTATATTATTCATTATTCAATATATCATTCATTAGCCAATGTTCAGTTACCAAACTCATTAAATCATTTCCATTTAAATACTGGACAATTTTCATATATATATATATATATATATATATATGTCCAACACAAAACATCACATCCACTAGTACACCACACAATATATACGTGACTAAAACAAGAATTATCTAGGATCACATATCACTATTATACAAACCTATAGTTTAAATAGACAGTCATCAATATCTACTCCACCAATCAGGGCCGTCGCTAGGAATTCTGGGCCCTGTGCACTGAATTTGCTATGGGGCCCCCTCAAAATCATGTTCAATGGAGTGGGGAGGGGGGGTATGAGTTGTGATCATAAAATGTAAATAAATAACGTTCAGAGGTGGGGGCTGGACTGGGGTTAAAATTTGGCACTGGAAAAATCGAGCCCATCCGGCCCACAATTTCCTACTTGAATGTTTTGATGGGTCATAGGACCTTCAATTGGAGTAAATAAATGAATAAATAAAACAGGACAGAAATGAATACTGATAGATATTACTGAATTCACAACAAATGCAACAAACTCAATTGTGACCAGTGGGGGCGGGGCCGAGAGACGTGGGAACTGAGCGAGGCCGGTGGAGTAATTGATAATGAGCGACACCTGCACCACTCACAGGTCTCGAGTCCCACGGAGGAGCTCCGGAAGGATAAAAGGAGGAGTGACGACAGTGCAAGACGAGAGAGGACCAGGCCTGGATTTTATTTTGTGTTTTGTGTACGGCAGTCGTCCGCGAGGGGCTGCCGCTTTACTTTCATTTTGTGTTTGTTTATTTTATTAAAGTCCTTAAATGTTCGCCGGTTCCGCCTCCTTCTTCCCGATCTACAAACTGTGTTACATCAATAATGCATTTTTGTCACATAGAACGGCACTTGACAGTAAAGCATTGATTTTGAGCTAGACACATTAGAGGTGCAATGGCTCATGTCGCTGACGACCAAATCCAAATTTCTGATGATTAGATTATCTTGTCACCATAGCAATCTTCACACCTTTCCGTCAATTGATTTGTTAATAAATGAAGTGGTGCTCTCGAAATCCGTTACCTCCATTCTGAGCCGGATCTAAGGTCAGTGAATATGCAGGGCTCAGCGATGTGAATGCCTTTCCGGCTGCGTGTTTTTAAAGGGATAGTTCACCCAAAAAATTGAAATTCTGTCAGAATGTAGTCACGCTTATGAAATTCCTTCTTCTGTGAAACACAAAAGAGGATATTTTGAAAAAAATAATTGACTTGACATGGAAAAAAGGTAAAACAATTCTAAAATATAATTTTATAGGTTAAAATATAGTTGCTCATATCTTAATAAAATAGTTTTGCAAGAACCACAAATGTCCTCGCTTGTCCTAAAGTTTTCCATCTCGTTCCTCGAGCATATCTAATAATTTTTATGTCTGTATGGATAGAAAATTGGAGCATAAGAAAAGCCAACAGGTTTAATTCCTTTAGTGTTGTCTGCAGAACATAACACCTAGGGCCGTCGCTAGGAATTCTGGGCCCTGTGCACTGAATTTGCTATGGGGCCCCTTCAACATCACGTTCAGTGGAGGAGGGGTATGAGTTGCGATCGTAAAATGTAAAATAACGTTCAGGGGTGGGGGCTGGACTGGGGTTAAAATTTGGCCCAGGACAAATCGAGCCCATCTGGCCCACAAATTCCCCCTTGAATGTTTTGATGGGTCATAGGGCCTTCAACTGGAGTAAAAAAAAACAATAAATAAAACAGGACAGAAACTAATACTGATAGATTAATTCATGACAAATGCAACAAACTTAATAATGCATTTTTGTCACATAGAAACGCACTTGACAGTAATGCATTGATTTTGAGCTAGACTGCTGGAAAGTTACTGCTAATAAATTCTGTCATCATTTCCTCACTCTCATGCCGTTCCAAACGACTTTCTTCTGTTGAACACAAAATAAGATTTTGTAGAATGTTACCAAACGCTTTTGGTTACCCTTGATTTCTACTGTATGGACAAAAAATTCTTGAATTTCTCAAATTATGTTCCACAGAAGAAAGAAATTCATACAGGTTTGGAATGACATGATGTTGAGTAAAGATGGCAATTTTCATTTTTGGGTGAATCTCCATTTAAGAACTTTATTATTTGTAAATAATAAACACTTAATTTATAAAAGACACTGATATTTATCTTTAATCAGGCCCTTATTGAATTAACATTTTACTTCAATTAAAATTCATTAGAACTAAACATCTAAAAAGAAAGAATCCAGAGTTTAGCTGGAGTTTAGTGGTCACACGTAGTAAAACCATGGTCCTCATTACCATGGTTATATGGTTTTAAAAATAAATAAGTAATAAACTATAAAATCTGCAGTTAAAAATAAACTAAACATGAAGAAACTACAAAACACCTTCTATAAAATTTTTATATTTCCCAAAATGTAATAAAGTAACATTTATAATAAATACATTTCTGCCAACACATAGGCTATTTGTACAGTGTTAATAACTTCAAATTAAATTACTATGGTGCTGAATTGACAAGCCTATTGGCGTTTTCCATTATACCTCATATATAGGTATAATGTTATATATGTATCACCTCATATAGGTGATGCTGGCTGTTTACAGCCAGCATCACTAGAACCTTTAATGTTCTCATATCACATGACTGTATAACAATTCTGTGTCACATCTGAATGGATCAAGCGACTTGCTCTGTTTATCACTTATAAATCGTGGCAGAAGCGTGGCGCTGTGCGGTGATTGATCCCGCTCTGCTTTGACGTGCTGCTGGCGGATGCATTGGGTAGTGCTGCTTACACCTTCGGAGTATTTGCTTTATGCGGTTTCGCATGCGCTGTAATTTAAAAACAGCGCCTAATATCGGGCAGGTCTCCCTCATTTCGGCAATCGGCCCACTAATCGAATGGAATGTTCCGGTGCTCCCGATGGCAGTAGGCGATCGCGGGCCCCCCAGACATCTGGGCCCTATGCACTCTGTCACCCTTTTCCCCCCACTAGCGACGCCCCTGCCACCAATTAACTTTAAATTGTATAACAATGGAAAATTAAATAATTCAAAACATCATAAACAATCATTGTTTTTCACACTGTAAATAATCAAGATTTATTATATAAAATATTAAAGATGAATTCGACCAATTATAGTTCATTAAAGGAAAACAGAAAGATCTAATTCCTCATTCATGCCATTTGGGGTCAGTGATTTAAGTTTATGAATCCACAATGTTTCTCGTTTCAATAGTTCTTTATTTATATTACCTCCTCTACGTGACCTAAAAACGTCTCAGGTTACTTATGTAACCATGGTTCCCTGAGTAGGGAACGAGACACTGCGTCCTCTAGGGGTCGCTATGGGGAACGCCTCGTTGTGACCCGTGTCTGAAGCATACATTGAAAAAACACCAACTCGTTGGCCGGAGACAGCCATGACGTCACTACCGGTGCGACTATACTATAAATAGGCGCCGGGAGCACACATCATTCACTTCTTCGTCTGAAGCTTGCGTCCGCAGCATGGCAAGAAACCTAGAGGAC